TTCCTCCGGTGTGGGCCTGCTACACCTTTTCCTCAATGTCGCTAGCTCTGATTTGTCCATAGGGCGTCGATACGTGATACGGCATTTGGGACTATCACCGTCGGACATACGCCATTCCTCTTTCGCCAACCACTCATGGCTACATATGCGCTGCGCGTAAGGACTATCGTTAGAACGCTGATCGCAGATAAAACCCAGCGTTACGCTACAACGTGTAAAATCACGGTGTCCTCCAGTCAGTATCGTTGCTATAGACAGTTCGGGTAGTATCACGGGTCTTACACCGGACGGCCACCCCTTACGGCAGATCATGTCAGGGTTATCATTGTATAACACATCAGCGTCCAGCACCCCCGGTTTCGCCATGTATGTTCGGATAGTATCACGGGTCTTACACCGGACGGCCACCCCTTACGGCAGATCATGTCAGGGTTATTATTGTATAACACATCAGCGTCCAGCACTCCCGGTTTCGCCATGTATATTGAGACTAGCGGTACACCCGTTAAATGGCCCAATCTCAACCACTCACGTCGTGCTCAGGGTTGACGCACCAATAGAGGGCTCGTGTCTTCGTCCGCTGCATACGTCTATGCTTCAAAAAATCGTTGTCGTCGTAGCGAGCCATTTCTTTTTATTCGGCGTCTTTCGCTAGATTTTTTACTGTATCGTTTTAATGATTCTAATACTTTTCTTAGACTGTACATCGCTGCCTGCTCGCGCGTGCCCCAACCGCTTGTTTTCTTTTTCACAGGATCATCTTAACGCTGATGTAGATGTACCCAGCTGTACCACGATTCACGTGAATCACTCGCTATAGGATATCAGCATCTCGTCATCTTTGATACATCCTGCGGTATCATGGCTCGGGTATTAAAAGAGCTAGGACATACACACCTACGGTTGTGATGAAGAGGGTATCCTACCTCAATCTCCAGAGGGTCCTGCGCTTCGTAACCATTCAAATAACCAGGCTACGCGAGATTACCGACAGTGCTAACAACTGTAAAGACACGCTGATTGCGGAACTCGAACGTCGCGGAGATGACACCTCCCCCAGGGACAACATATTGGGCGATCTTCGATTGGTTCTGGAGAAGAAAGGCCTGTGGTCACCAACGCTTAATCAATTATTGTTGGAGCTGCTGACCCTGTATAATCACGAGTACCTTTCCTTCGTGCGGAGCAATTCGGCGTCTTTCGCTAGATTTTTTACTGTATCGTTTTAATGATTCTAATACTTTTCTTAGACTGTACATCGCTGCCTGCTCGCGCGTGCCCCAACCGCTTGTTTTCTTTTTCACAGGATCATCTTAACGCTGATGTAGATGTACCCAGCTGTACCACGATTCACGTGAATCACTCGCTATAGGATATCAGCATCTCGTCATCTTTGATACATCCTGCGGTATCAGCACTATACTCTATCATGGCCATAGACTCTTTGTTCGCTGCATCCTATGAAAACGGGGTGTGGCTATGGTAGTGGTGGTGGGGGACATGTTCGACGATATTTCGATGACCTGTTTTTTTAGATATCGCCGCGACGAAGGATTGCGGATGCATGCTCAACTATCAGTGTAGAGGCCATGAAGAATGCAAAACAATTTTTTGTTCACCGTCTACGCGAGTGCATTGCAGCTCGTGGACACCATTTTGAACATTGCTACAATTAAGATTAGTAAATTTTGACTTGTCAACAACACTGGATGCGTAATAACGGCGTGGCTGTGATTCTCCTTGTGATACGAAGTTTTTTAATTTTCTTTCGAACCAGATGAAAAAAATGTCATGTCCTTATCATGCATTGGTCCTTTTTTCGTAATAAAAACTGTACGCTTGATGTTTCTTGCAAAATGTGTATAATATATTTTTATTTAAAAAAACTGTTTTTTTTTTGTTTCCTACACCTCCATCACCCCATATCTTCTCATTAATTTATAAAGCATTAACCGTATTCCGCTGTACGTTGTTATTTGATGCTGCCGTACACCTGCAGGGATTTTCACTTCGTCGAGATAAAGACATTCTTCAGAGACGATCTGAACCCTGATTACATCATTTTTCGGAGAATGTCATGCGGCTTGGGAAACGGGCAGAATCGGGGACCAGACCTTACCAATTAATCAGGATACGTTTTTACGACTTAAAGCAGATTCGCGTCAACAATACGGTAATAATCGAAAATGTATGATGCGCTACAGCTTTATAATATACATAATGTGTCTTGCAAAATACGGTGTTCTATTTTACCACGGGTACACTTATCTCCTTAGGATAATTGAAAAGTTACCGACAGGCGGTCAATGCATAATTACGGACCGTGATAGGCACCTTGGGGCATGCAACGCTGCTGCTACTGAGTTTCGGGCCTTAGGACCAGGTCCGCATGGTGGGGGAGCAACAACATAGGTCGGTGGTGGGGAGAACCGACCGCATTGGCGAGGGGGTGACGCCATAGTGCGGTACGGGGGGTCAGAGTGCTGCGCGCTCCATGACTCACAGGGGACAGTGGTGGGGGTTTGTTGTGACGGCCAGAAGTGGTATGTAACTACTTGCGACGAAGGATTGCGGATGCATGCTCAACTATCAGTGTAGAGGCCATGAAGAATGCAAAACAATTTTTTGTTCACCGTCTACGCGAGTGCATTGCAGCTCGTGGACACCATTTTGAACATTGCTACAATTAAGATTAGTAAATTTTGACTTGTCAACAACACTGGATGCGTAATAACGGCGTGGCTGTGATTCTCCTTGTGATACGAAGTTTTTTAATTTTCTTTCGAACCAGATGAAAAAAATGTCATGTCCTTACATGTGCCGAATTCGTCTTGAAATCCTCTAACAGACAGGCGTAAAAAATTATATGTTCAGTTGCAAAAAATTCAAGGTAACCTTGAAAAAACATAAAAAAAAAGAGTTGACCAGTAATTTTTCACTATCACGTTAAAGCTCTCTTGAAACCATGCAAAAGCTGATACAAACATTTTCGATCGGACTGCTAATAACAAAGTAATCTCTACTGATCACGATTCGTGATTCACCCTGTATATAGCGTTTCTTACAAAAACACTGTGTTCTACTTCACGATGGCACACTTACCTCCTTAGGATAATTAAAAAATTACCAACCGGCGGTCACTGCATAATTACCGACCATGGTACGCCCCCTGTGGGACATGAAACGCTGCTACTGGGTGGTTTCAGGCCTTAGGACTAGGGCCGTGTGGTGGGGGGTCCACAACTGTGTCGCAGGGGGAGGGGAAGCTGGTCACATAGACGATGGGGTGGCGCCATAGTGCAGCGCGGGGGGCCGGAGCGCGATGCGCTCTATGACTCATAGGAGCAGTAGTGGGGATTTGTTGTGACGGCCAGGAGTGGTGTGTACCTACTTCCATCTAGTTAAAAGTGTACAAAATTTGGAGTAAAAAGTCATTTGTGTCCAATTGGTATGTGCGCACGTGGGACCTCCCCCAGCGTCGCGCTGACAATGGAGCATACCAGAAGTTGTTTCAATTATTAATTAAAACCATTACCATTACCATTAAATAAATGGAGGATTTTACAATACAAATCCCGTCGCGTACAGTGTGTTCCCCAACGGCGGCTTACGACTATTCCGAGTCATGGTAGCTTGCCTGTCCAAGACCTGTCCCTATCTCGGTGTGCTTACCGAATCCGCGAATCCTCTCGCGGCGCGATTCTCGATACTAGCAGGTGTCGTTGGAGAGGAGCGTTTTTTTCCTCGGGAGTGTGCCATCCGACGTTGGTAGCCACCTGAGGCATCCGTGTGTCCGCACTACTCCCGCTCAGCTATCTACTCGCGCGAGATATTCTCTAAATAAGACCGCTCCCGCGGTATTTACCGAGAACTGACTGTCCCATCAGTCCCTTAAAACAAAAATCCCAATAGTGGTGGCCGTGTCCCTTCCGCCTATCTCCATGGTGCCGCATCTCGGCTCCATGAGAGCATTCACCTAAAACTCGAAGTTTCATACGCTCGGCCACGCACTGATACTATACTATATAAAAAAAAAACCGGGAGCCATGGTTCTCCGCGAGAAATCTCGATAATCGCAATCGGCGATTATCCGATTGTTCCGCTATCGCCCGAGCACGAAAGAAGAACTCATTTTCTCGCGGTCCGCCGGATACCCGAGTCCTCACACACGGACTCCTCGAAATACACCCCTCTCTTCTACCTACCGCTCTACGCGGTAGATCAAAAATCAAAACAATCCTCCTCTCCGGCGCCCTTCCTGCGGACCCGCAAACCGTAGCAGGTCAAAGTTCCCGGGGTACCGGCAGTGCGCCCCGGCGGTTGAGCACCCCTTGCTTGCGGGCTCTTAACCCAAAAGGGCCCCGTGCCTCCGGCGCCGGTTCACTATTTTTCCCCGTTCCCTCCTTCCGAATCACGGACCTACTAACTCTTTAGAAATGGAGGCCAGAAGCACCGCCGTGCTGTCGACAGCGCGCGATGGTGCGGGGCTTTTGTAATGTGTCGTCCTGACGCTACGTTACAATATTTATGCTCTTGTATGCTAATAAGTTGCACCTATCAATAGATTAATAGATAGTCACTTCGCCTACTACTAATACAAGGTACTTGAAATCTCATTGCGATGAATTATTAATAATTTGCATAAACAAAATCAGTCATCATTGTTTAATCTGCTTACAGTATGAAGAAACTCTGAAACCCAGATATATGAGCGTGGACCTTTCGGAAGTCGAGCTAGCCGAGTATGATGGTCCTGCACACCCTTTCAACAATTCTCTTCTCTTGGATGTAAGTAAATTTTGTATGTTACATGTGACGAAGAAAATAATACCTTACATGAAGTAAACAAGTGTATTTATCTCTACGCTTTGATAGATTTAGATAACCTTTTGAATCTATATTCTGTAAAGCTATTCTCCCTTTTGTTCTACTTGTCGGAATCAGGATGAGTAATATAAATTTGGGATTTCCGAATACAGATTCTTGCATCGGTATTTACCGACACTTCGAAAGTTTTTGAAGGTTCGTGTCCATACTAAATCGACATCGTCGAGCCCCACGATTTTCTGAAGTGTCATGGAGGCCTTCGATTTTCGTATTTCGCGGTGGGTTCCAGGATTGTTACGTCCGATTCTAGGAATTGTGCATGATGCAGAAGCTTCTATGTAGTGCGACGTTATTCCCCAAGAACAAAATCTCAATGCGAAATTAGGTAGACTATAAAAGATATCTGGAAAGTAGGGAACCGTACACAAAACGCCGTATGATTCTCTCTCAATAAATTTCGATATTCACAAGACCCGATACGCGATAAACTAAATTGTGTTGGGCGCCAGGTGGTCTCGGGGGAGAACACCACGAGTACGGGGCACTCGAGATCTTATAAATCCTTAGGAGGACGCAGGAAAGCTCGGAACAACGAAAGGGAAAAGGAAACAGGTAAGGCGATACCGCCAAGGGAAAAGAGTGGGAACGATCGGAACGGCTACTCCGCCAAGAGAGGAAAGAGAGATAGTAATAAACGGCGACTCTGCCAAGAAGAAAAGAGAAAGATCGATAAACGGCGACTCCGCCAAGACAGGAAAAGAAAGATCGAAAGATCGCACTTGGGAGAGCGTCGTGGTGTTCAAGAGTCTAGGCGGGAGAAGGAATAGGCATGCGATAAAGAGAATAGGTAAAAGAAAGATAGCAGAGAAAAATAAGTAGGTTTAACGCACCGAAGCTATATTAGAAAAAGCAAGAAAGCCATATACAAGCCATTCAGCAAACTACAGTATTTTTAAAGCAGAAAAACAAAATCAATTTCGAAGTGATACGGAATACGGGTCAATAGAATTCTACACAAGGAAGCGAGATTCACTAAGGTGCGAAAGCGAAACAAGATAACAAAATCCTTAGAGTAATTGTACAAAGCGATAGGCTCTTGATGGATTCTATATAAACTAAAAATCTTAAAACGAAACGGCGGAATTAGCGAGGGACCATGGGCCTGAGGCGATACGACACGGCAGCGGGACGAATCCGCGCCGACGCAAAAGAGACTTTCGACAATATTTCAATAAATAGGAGACTCCGAAATACACGCGATAACAAAGGCTTATTAGCCTGGGACTACGGCCTTGTGGCGATATGATACGACAGCGGGACGAATCCGCGCCGATGCAAAAGATACTGTCGACAATATTTCAATAAACAGGAGAATACAGAATAAACGCGAGAACAAATATGGTAAATTCGAATCGACACGCGAGGACGAAATCAATTCACTCGCGAAATATTTCGGCAATCGGAAAGTGTCAGAAAAGGTGAGATATGAATAGGGCGATTCACACACAGATGTAAAATACACGTAAAGAAATTAACATAGGCAGTACAATTATTATAAAATAGTCAAAAGAAATGGCAAGCTGTAATAAAATTATCACAAGAATAGTTTGGATCAGCAAACATAAATTATTACTAGGTACGCCACTGATAGTCAATGCGTCCTTTATTCTCGCATCAGGCGATTACTCACAAAAATAAGGTGACTCTACGTTCGATCAACAGCGTAAGGTATCGAAAAATATTAAAATAAGACGGTAATTAAGAATTTCCAAAAGTTGAAATATTAGTTAATTAAAGAGGAGGATGCCATTCCTAATAACGAAAGCGAAAAATACGCGAACGATATATGGCAAAGAAAAGAAATATTCAGAGTCAAAATTCAATATACTAAAGCGACATATAACGCCGGAAAAGATAGAAAAGCCAAAAAGATATTCATTTAAAACAACAAGACAGACTCAACGGGGAAACAGCCAAGCCGGAGACGCCGGGGCCCTAGGTGTTTCCACGTGGTCGAGAAGATAATCGGTAACTTAGAAAATATTCGACAATTCCAAAGCACTAAATTACAGCAAAGCGCAATTAATTACGATACATTTGATATAAAAGATACTCTACGATAATAAATGAAAAGCTAGATAAAATAACGGTATCTGGCACTATCGTCCTTTTACTTAGAGGGACTAGAACGACATTTAGTCCCGGTAAGCAAGAAAATTTGCTATCGAGACAAAGAGCCTAGACGAGATTACTTCAGATAAATTCACAAAATATCTCCAAAATAACGGTAACGAAAGGTTCTCACCAAATATATACGATATGAGATCGCGAAAATCGGTCCTCAGACTTCCTTCCTTCAATTTCGTTAGTCTCAAGTAATCGGATTCGGCTCGTCTTGGTTCACACGTAATAACTACTGTTAGTATCCACTAGCTGAGATGCTCCAAACGTAAGTGAACGAGCCGGAATTCGTCGCTAGAGGAAGAGCCCTAGGGGCCCCTTCCTTAAATTATTAATTCCTAATTCGCACGGTAGAGCGATAGCAAAATATAATAATACATAAACAAACTTAAAAAAAAAAAATTCAACCGACTTCAAAAAGCACAAAAAGTCACTACACTAAAAAGCGAAAAATAACAATTTTCAGCTTCAATCCGAAAGACACACAACAATACACGTATTACTTTTTATTTATTTTTGTCTTATTTCGTTTAGTATACACTATTATAATTACTTATTAATTAATCTATCTGCATTTATGATTTATGTATACAATTACAACGTTACAATTCTTGTCCAAACCTATTACCTATAATTAAAATAAAATATTATTATTGGTTTGAAGTCAGTGCCAAACCAAATAGGTAGTAGGCAAATAGACTAATTGTAAGTCTGCTCCCGCCACATTGCTACATGAGCAGGCAGATGTAGTTGACGGTCGTCTCGAATGATTGAATTTTTTATGCGTTATTACGTAGTTGATAGATTTCTATAATTTGACTGTTGCACATAGCTTTTTATAGGTAGATCTTTAATCCAAAACAAAATATTTAGGTATATCATTAGATTTTTATTCCGGTATTAATTTAAGCTGGTTATATCGTTGTTTTATTTTGTTTCGGGCTTGGCACCGACTTCAAACCAATAATAATATTTTATTTTAATTATAGGTAATAGGTTTGGACAACAATTGTAACGTTGTAATTGTATACATAAATCATAAATGCATATAGAATAATTATTAAGTAATTATAAGAGTGTATACTAAACGAAATAAGACAAAAATAAATAAAAAGTATTACGTGTCTTGTTGTGTGTGTCTTTTGGATTGAAGCTGTATTTTGTTATTTTTCGTTTTTTAGTGTAGTGACTTTTTGTGCTTTTTGAAGTCGGGTGAATTTTTTTTTTAAAGTTTGTTTATTTTTCCATTTTTAGTATAAATATAGGTAGGTAAGTAGTGTAGTGTTTATTTAAGTACCTATACTAATGATGAAAAGGCATTACGAGAAATGGAAAGATTAAAACGATTGTCTTAATCCCCACATTAGATTCTGACTTGGTGACAATGGGACCACCTCACAATTGACGCAGAAATCGGTGAACATTCATAAAAAAAAATACATACAGTCAAACATAGAACCTCCTCCTTTTTGATTGAAGTCGGGTAATAAAAATAGGTAAATCTAACGCTTGACGGTAGCTAGAGACGAAGCATTAGGCGGCTCGAGTCCGAAGGTAGACGGAACGGGCCGAGCTGAGTGCAGGAGTCCTTAGTGCGGCCGATCGTGAGTCCTCGGTGCGAGCAGCAGGATCCAGCAAAGAGTAGGCCGTGCTTTCTTCTCCGGGGGCCACAGATAACAGGAGCGCCAGGGAACGTTCCTTTTCTCCTATCGGCGGCAGGAGTGGCGAAGGCCCTTTTTGGCGGCCCGTATGGACGGCCGGCAGGAGTATTGGAGGGATCCCATCCCGGATCTCCCTGGCTTCACGGAAGCCCTCCGGAACGAACAGCAGTTTGGTCCAGTCTCTGTCGATCGCTCGTCCCGTAGCTCAGGAACTCTCGTTGGCGGTCAGTTTCGTGCTCGTGGTGTAGACGTAGATTTGCCCAGGACGGTAAAGAAGGTAGGCGAGTGCGAATATGAAAGCTCAAAAATAAAAATAAAAAACGAAAAAGCAGAAAGACGGAAGTGATATAAGCAGAAAGGACGATAGGTGGAAACCAAGTGCATAAACGATAAGCGAGACAAGCAAAGACGTCTTTGGAATGTCGGGTGACTGCTGTTTGGAGGATCGTTGCAGGTGGGTTGTGTCTTTTCCCTACTCTTAGCAATCTTTTTGACTGAATTTCCGAAATTCACGTCACAGTAGAGATGTTCAATTTTTGAAGTAGGGACAAAATATTTTAAAAATATCACATATTATCAACAGGACATAGCCATATATAAGCAAAATTATTTAAAAAATACATGGGACCATTTATAATTACAATATACCATGTGACGTACTGAATAAGTGATTTTTATCCAGGATCCCTTGAAAACAGCTATCGCAACTTGAGGGAGGGTCTCGTAAAGAAATGGGAACACGGGGTAGATTAGTAACAAAATACAATTAATAGAAGGCAAATGTCGGTGTACAATAGAAAAACAAAAGAAAATAAGCTCCAAAGATAACGGAAAAGAAAGGGAAAAAAAAGATCGGCAAATATTTAAAACACGCAATACTGAACCAGATCAAATCACTGTACGCGGGTGCTCGCTCGGGAGCACGCGACGTCGAAGGGATTTAAATAGGCTCGTTGGGAAAAGGGGGGGAGTGGCGCTCGGGAGACGGAGGGGTACTTTGTTGACAAGGGGGACCGGAGGGGCAGGGAGGGCTTACCGATAAGGAATAGGACGCAAACAATCTATGGGCGCCAGCTACTTGTTCAGCGTTGCACCGACGAGTGCTAGTCAAAACTAATA